ATTGGCCAAGTGGCAGCATCGATGAACTCAAGCATGGCAACAGTAGTGAGGTTGGCCCAGGAATGGGCAGTGTTTCATTCTGCTGTGCATAAGGTTGCTATGAGTCGGTAGCGACTTGATGGCACCTAACAACAACAATGGCTAATGATTGTGAACATATATTCATATGTTTGTTGACTGCCTGATTGTCTTCCTTGGTGAAGTGTCTGTTCATGTCCTGTGCCCATTTTTTAATTGGGTTATTTGTTTTTTTCTTTAGAGGTGTTGTAATTTCCTATAAATTTTAGAAATTAGTCCCTTGTCTGATATGTCATGGCAAATTTTTTTTTTTTCCATTCTCTGGGCTCCCTTTTTACTCCTTTGTGAAATCCTTTGATGCACATAAATTTCTAATTTTTAGAATGTCCCAGTCATCTATTTTGTCTTCTTTTTGTTTGTATAATTTTCACAATGTTTGGTAGTCTATGTGTGCCCTGTATCAGAGCCCTTAAATCTGTCCTTATTTTTTCATTGATGACTGTTATAATTCTAGGATTCACATTTAGGTCTTTAATCCATGCTGAGTTTGCTTCTTCTGTATGTGGTGTAAAGTAAAAGTCTTATTTCAATCTTTTGCATATCAGTTTTCAGTTCTGCCAGCACCATCTGTTGAAGAGACTATGTCTTCCTCACTCAATGTACTTTGGCCCTTTGTCAAAGATGAGTTGGCTGTATGTTGATGGATTAATTTCTAGATTCTCAATTCTGTTCCATCGAACAATGTATCTTCATTGTACCAGCACCAGACTGTTTTCACCACTGTAGCCATGTAGTATATTTTGAAATCAGGGAGTGAGAGGCTTCCAACTTTGTTGTTCTTGTTAAGCAGTGCTTTGCTTATCCTGGGTCTCTTTCCTTTCCATATAAAGTTTGTAATTGTTTTTTCCATCTTTTTGAAGAATGTTGTTGGAATCTGGATTGGAATGGCATTATGCTTATGGATTGCTTTAGGCAGTATTGACATTTCCACAATGTTAAGTCTCCCTATCCAGGAGCATGGTATATTCTTGCATTTTTGTAAGTGTCTTTTGGTTTCTTGTAGTAGTGTTTTGTAGTTTTCTTTGCATAAGTACTTTGTTTCTCTGATTACGTTTATTCCTAGATATTTCATCCTTTGGGTGGCTATTGTAAATGCTATTGTTTTCCTAATGTCCTTTTCAGCACTGTCATTGTTACTGTAGAGGAAGCCAATTGATATTTGTATGTTGATCTTGTACTCTGCCACTTTGCTGAACCTTCCAATGAGTTCCAGTAGTTTTTTTACTGAGTCTTTGGGGTTTTCTATATATAGGATCATGTCATCTGCAAATAGAGTTTTACTTCCTCTTTGTCAATTTGGATGCCTTTAATTTCCATATCTTGTCTTATATCTCTGGCTAACACTTCCAAAACAATATTGAATAGGAGTGGTAATAAAGGGCATCTTTGTTTGGTACCTGTTCTCATGGGGAAGGCTTTCAGTTTCTTTCCATTGAGAGTAATGTAGGCTGTCAGTTTTGTATATATGTTCTTAATTATGCTGAGGAATTTCCTTTCAATTCCTACTTTGTTGAGTGTTTTTATCAGGAATGGGTATTGGATTTTGTCATATCTTTTCTACATCAATCTATATGAGGATCAGGCTTTTTGCTCCCTGCTCCCTCAAAGATTTATGGCCTCAGAAACCCTGTACAGGATTAATATGAGTCAGAACCAACTCCATGATACTTACCAACAATTACCTTATTATAGTAGAGTTGATTGTTTTTTTTTGTTTTTTTTTTTAATGTTTTATTGTGAATTATGTGCTAGTTTATGTGGGTGAACATTAACTTTACATTCATCCTATCGCACATTGTTTCCCTGCCATGGCTACATTCCCCTCCACATCATCAACCAACCAGAGGGTATAACCTGCAAACCCGCCCCCCGGTCATCAGCACACGGCCCCTCTCCCTCTCCAGGTCCAAAGTCCCCAGTCGCTCCATCTCTCCATGTCATCATCTCTGCCTCCATCCCTGGTGTCTCTGCTTCTCTGAGTAGGGTTCCACTCTCTGCTCCTCTCCCTTAATGGTCCCAGGGACCTCTGCTCCTAGACTTCAAGTTAATCACTCCCCTCCTTTTGCTACAAAATGTCTACCTTTATATTTCCAACTCTCACAATCAGACCTAATAACAATTATTCACTGGTGTATCACAAGAGACCTATCCGCATCTCCTTTCATCAGCACCACCTAGACAGATTGATCTCCACTACTCAGTGGAGTTTCTACCTTGCTCCACGCCCACTGGATCTAGGTTCCCTCTTGAAAGTTTGTAAGTCAGTCACGTCTTCCCTCTGTAGCACCCCCATTCTGGGTAGCCAATGTCCATGTTGCCCATCCCTGTTCACTCTGTGTATGAAGGCGGTGGGAATAATCCTTGCTGTGAAGATTTGTTCCCTCTTTTGAGCATAGGTCAAGTTCATCAAATTGTATGAGATTACTCTTTTTTTCCTCTTTTTTCTTCTTCTAGTTGAGCTCTGATCATCCAGTCATTAAAGCCAGTTCAAGTGGGTATTATCTGCAAATGTGGGTGTACTTATGCATATGCCCTCTCTTTTTATCAGCTGGACGCTTCACTCTCCACTCTAGTACTATGTGGCTATGTCACTGACTTTGGGCCCAAGAATCCCCAGGTCTTGCCACACTGCTGGCCAACCAGGTCTCCAGCTGGGTTCACAGGAGTCTATTGAATGCTCGCAGCTTCATTGCTGTTTTTCCCTCATTTCCCCTTATCGGTGACGAATGTGGTCACCAATCAGAGCATGTATTCCATTGAGTCTTACTCTTAGAAGGATGTTTGCCCTCAGGGGACCCAACCACTTGCCTTGATGTCTCCTGGGCAAGCAACTTGCTTGTTCTTATAGTAATCAGTTGGGCTGACTATATTGTTTTCTATTTTTCCTGTCGATCTTTCTTTCAAGAAGTGTCTTCTGTTCCTCTAGCCGCTCCAGGCTGGTCTGCTTGTCCTCTCAAGTGGAAATTTCCCATCTTAGAAGATTCTGGATACTGTTCCCTATTCCACCTATGGTCTTATGTAATACAGAGGCTCCACAGGCAGCCTTCTTCACTAGGCATGTTTTATCCCCATTTTAGGTATTCCAATCAGTTATAGACAGAAGATGGACTTATAAGGTTTCTATGGTGGTATTTCTGGCTATTCCTTTCTCTCCCCCTCAAGTGTCTATTTTATAGTGATGTGCCAGGGAAACCAAGATTCAAAAGACAGCCAAACATCTTAACATTATTTCCCCCATTCCAACTGTTTCTCAATCCCTGTATCACAGAGCCCTGTTTTTCCAAAGTTGTGCATACATCATTATTTACCTCTATCCCACTTCAGCTTCACATTCATCCTATCGTATTTCATTTCATTGCAATGATTACAATCCCCTCCATGCATCATCAAATAACCAAAGGATACACCCCACAGGCCTGCCCACCTGGCTGTCAGCAAACAGCTCCTTTCACTCCCTGAGTCCCTTGTTCCCAGCCACTCCATCTGTCCACGTCATCATCTCTGTCTCTATGCCTGGCTTCACTGCCTCTCTGAGTAGGGTCACACTCTCCGTTCTTCTCACTTGATGATCCCAGGGACCTCCACTCCTGGGCTGCAAAATCAATCACTCCCCTCCTTTTGCCAAAAACAACAACAACAACAAAAACAACAAAATCTGCCTCTACATTTTCGACCCTCACAGTCAGTCCTGATGGCAGTTATTCACTATTGTACCACAAGTGTCTTATGCCCATTTCC